TTATTCCAACAGGAGATCAACTTGCTGATGGGTTTACTAAGCCACTGTCCACGAGGAGGATGAATGAGTTCATATACAATCTAAATCTTGACAGAGTTTCATAGGTTGGTTTAGATTGAGGGAGGATGTTAGATAAAGAGTAGAGTTATATTTGTATTCAAACTTCTATCTCTTCTCCCTCTCGTGTATTCTTCTGTCTCTCTCTCGTGTAACTCTGGAGAGTCCTAGCGATCTCCCAAACTTGTAACCCACGACAAGTTATCAATATATACAGCGGCCCGAGACCAAAGGGTTCAACGCTTCCTCCAATCTTTATAGCCCAAGGATCCTATTCTTGTAGGACTTGCACCATTTGAAGTTGCGGGTGTGGTTGCCAGACAATCCACATGCCACGACCGTGATGTAGGTCATGCCTCTTCATCCCAATGTCATCAATAACCTCATCTGGCACCTCGTCACACAGCAATTCCGCGGCCTTATCATCCTCGTAGCCGAAGCTACAAGGACACACTAGGTGATCAACCCGTCTATCGGCCGAATGGCGGCGCTCCCAAAGAGCCATGCCACGAAGTCTCAAGGTATCACACACCTAGGACTAGGTTACAACACGCAAACTAGGAAGCACAAAGTTGTGCGCGTCCATTACCGCCTCTCCAAATCTGTGCCTATGGACTGCGAGTGCGAGGTGTACGAGATCAACTCGGTCCTGGCGCTTGGAGGGTTGTGGTTAGGAGAAAGCATTGGGTTGGGTAAGAAAGGAGGACACAAGTGTCTTTACAGACAGGCATGTCTATTAGTTGGCCAGGCGTGAACTTGCCTCTCTATCAGAAGAGATATTCATCGCCTCATTCAACCTTGACAATGAGACGTTTGAGACCGTGCCATTGCCTCCATTCGACTTGGAGAAAAACTATCAAGATAATCACTACTTGACCGAGTTAGCTGGACGCCTATGCCTCTTCCATACAGATGTAGCCAACAATTTTTGTCCTCAACAGTATGACATCTGGCTGCTACACACAGTCACAGTGCGAGTGTGTGGGATTTACATTGCCGAATCGACCTATCAACACTGCCTCGGAACGTTGCCAACTTCATGCACTTCATGTATTGGATCGGCCTACTCTCCACCATCAGGGGCGGTCCAGCCCAGCGCCCCGGGCCCCCTTTGTATACTGTAGCAGTTGCTACAGTATTTTTCCTACAGCCCACAAAAAAAAGGGCC